TATCGAATGGTGATGGTGGCAATGGTGATGGTGATGCTGGGTTCGATACACAATAGTCGAAGAGCTAGATAGTAGCCATAAGGTGTGATAAAAGTGATTTAAAAAAAACAATGTAACTCAATCGTTTAAACGTTGTTATTGCCATAGCATTGCCAAGATGCTCGATTAACCGTCTCAGCTGTAAATGGGCACTTCCGATCCTTGATTTCTTCCCACCGTCTACTATACTTCCAAGGGTAACCGGATTTCTATCGATCGAAAGCAGTGGTACATGATCTTCTTCCAGATCTTCAACAGGTTCAGCACGTTCATCTTCAATAATCATGTTATGGAGGATGATGCATCCTCGCATAACATTGATCACGTCTCGATGCTTTGAAAGCCGTGCTGGATTGCGAACGATGAGAAATTGTTTTTGAGCACTCCAAAAGCACGCCTCCACATCCTTGCGAGTAACCTTCTGCATCTTGTTGTAGTGCTATGTACATAAGTTTCCAATCATTGATCAGGCTGATGGTATAGATAAACGTATGCCACGTAGACTTACCTCTGCTTTCTACCAGCTGGACTACTAAAACTTTTCATCATGGCGCCCAATCAGGGTAAATTCCATCAGCAAGATAGTAGCCCATATGGTATTCGTGGCCATTGATGGTATGGCGTTGCCGAAGGTGCGTTGCCTAATGCAATGTTGTTAAAAGATCGGGTATTAGAAGCGCTGATTAAAATGATTGATGGCTTTCACCTGAAGCACAAAAGAGCGGAAGAGATTTGATTCCGCAGCGGATGTTGAGATCGTTCAAAGATCCTGGGTGCGGCCAATACTGGCATGCCAGATCCACAAGTCATATGGCTACCAGTCAGAACCGTGCTTGCATGCTTTGAGCGACCTGTGTAAGCACCATGCCAAGCAACAGGGCAATTGTCCCATTGCCAATGCATACAGTCAATGGAGCCAAGCATTCCAGGAAATCCCCTTGCTGCATTTTCTGAGAGCAACCGTTGGACGTCATGCTATTGGGCTGTCGCAAGTATTTGTCACCGAAGATGGTATTTAAGTTTTCACAAAACTTGATCAATGACTCCAAAGCGGTGCTCTCCGCCACTCGAAGATACTCATCGCTGTATCTGCACCAATACCGTATTAACGACGCATGACGGTAGCCTTCACCAAAGGGACAACCAGGCTTCAGCATCATAGCGCTGAGTGAAAAAGTGTATCGACCTTTTCATCTCTTCGGGATTACAAGAATAACCGCTTGGACATTCTGAAGCGTCTACAGAAAGTGTTGTTCGGTGTAAACAGGCCTTCGGGAGCAAAGTAATCTCGCACTAAGCACTCATGCAAACGATGTTCCGGTAGATATACCTTCTACCAGATGTGATCCACCACGGCCGGGAATCGTTTCAGAGTCGAGTAATTCATTGATATGGCGAATATGTTCAAGGCGTTCGAGTTCCTCATCATCTTCATAGAGCAATTCAAGTATACGACGAGTAAACATAATAAGAAAGAGAAAGAGAAAAGAGTTGGCGTGTTGTACAAGGTTTGATTTGATGGATCAACTCAGATATAGAGCCTAACCATTGTGAAATAAGAGCTTTATGGCCATCCTATGATAGCAATGGAGGTTACACCAAACTTACTCCCAACCATTGGAGATGCTCTAATAGAGCAAAGGATATGGCGTTTTGTGTGAATTTGAGTCATTCAGCACAGGCGATGCATGATTTCGTACGCTATTTAGAATAGTTCAAAATGCCAGCTAATAACCTTAGTCCTCCCATTCACCTTTGTTGTCCAATCCAATGCATACGAACGATTGTCTTGCTCCAGCCCAGCATGCCCATCACTTAACTTTCTTGATTTGAGCTAATCTGGTAGTAAGGTAATGGCTGTTGTTGGATCATCATTATCATGTAAAGCGTAAAATGGCACACACCCTTTTGCTATACGTGAGGATCATTTCTTTTATTTACGTGTACCTATTGTCTATGTAAGGGTGATGATGGTGGTGATGGGTGAGTTGTGTGTTTGGGTGGATGGTGTGTATAGGGTAATTGAGTGGCCTCAGTGTAAAGCAGTAGGGGATTTAAACTTGGGGACGGTAGCTCCACGACTTGAGACAACGCTTTCTCTTCTCTTTCTCCCTCCTCTACTTTTACCCCATTCACGACATCTCGATCAAGGTAATGTATTATAGAAGAGTGCTCTTGTTGGCTGTGAGGTGTTAATGTAGTTCTGAACATGCATTGTCAGGGAGAGTGAGTGTGTCCAAGTGCTGAGGAATGAGCGTGGTGCGTGGTTGGCTATTGCCATGGCGATATCGTTGCTTATTCCCGCTCTATGCTTGGTGTCAACAGGTACATTCAAAGTCCAATGTTGCAGCCGAATCGGTTCCATTGACGTGTTAGCTTGTATAGAGGGCAAGTTTGGTCTCAAGACGTTGGCTGGTTTGGCGTTTGGTGGTTTCGGCTCAACACACTACTACACCATGGTTTTCGGTTTCCAGTAACCAACAAAGGGTTCTTTGTATCTATGGAAAAGGCAAGTGCAATGAAACAAACAATGGAAAGAGGCGTTTTATTGTATGTGTGTGCTAATAATGAATTGAATAGGTTTCTTTGGTCAGGCAAATGCAACTTGGGGCATCATCACCTTTGGGGGGGGATCAAGTCCCAGCCTGTATCAAGTGACCGCTGCGTCGCTCTGCACTAGCCAAGTGTGCTGGAAAAGCTTCTTGGAACGCGTCCAGGGCTCTACAGGCCTGCGTTTGAGTTGATGGGTCGATGACAATGGGTTTTTGGAAGAGCATGGTCACCGTGTTGAGGTAAAAGGGGATTTGCAACAGCTTGTGAATGTGTTTAACCAACACGCTCTTGTCGTGATAGGCTCGTTCTTTCCCTTGAGGATTTCTTTTCATGAGGCGGGAAATGATTGGAAGAATTGGGGATCATTCTTTCTTTGGAGAGGATGAATGAGGACAATGATGAGCCTGGACTCTACGTAAGTGATGTCCTTGCTTGCCATGGATCGAACTGGCCTTGCGTGATTCGTGCAGTGCCTTCTCAAGAACAAGGGATCGACCGACGTTGCTCGTATGGTGGTGATTTGGCTTGTGAATTCCTTCTGATTTGCTTTCTTCCTTGGAGAGGATCGCCTAACGGTATACCAAATCGTCATCATTCCCTGTACCAGATGATCTAACTTGCCTACTTTTTACTTATAGAGACGACGATACAATAATTACCACATTCACAACAATGACGATGATACGACAACGAGATCCACAACAATGACCATGATACGACAACGAGATCCACGACAATGACGATAATGGCAATGGGATTCACAAACAATGATGGTCACGATGATAACCACATTCACAACAATGACAAATAACGACAACGAGATTGAAAAGGAAGCCTACAAGATCCCATTCTTTCTACTTTTGTGTTTTTGATATTTGCGACGACGCGATTCACGACTGCGGACGAGTACGAGTACGAGTACGAATGATGGCGGACGACGATAGTAGAAAGATGAAATAAAGCCTTGTTTATTTATTACACACTTGGACTTTGCTAGCTTTGTTGATTTACATAATGTAGCTTCGAAGATGGAATAATAAATGTGGTTCGGTTATCGGTCATGAAAGAAGTATTTGGCTTTTGTGATACTATAAGGAGGTGTGGGATGATAGTAAATGCGATCATGCATGGAATAAAGCTTTACAACTACTTTCCATTCTTCTTTGGATCTCGTGGTCATGTGGCATTATTACGGACTGTGCTCTAGAGAATGAATGAAGATGGGGGAATACAATGGCACAGCCTAATGGCGTGCTGCTAGCGCTCTTTTTGCGAGAGGCACGTGGTGAAACACATCTTGATATTCTTAAACCTCTATAAAAGGACATACCCCAAATTAGGAATGAACAAGCGGTGCATTGTTCTCGGGACAAATTATGGTTGGCTGCGATTTTAGATCGGCTATTCGGCTTACATTCCAATGGTGTGTGTGTGTGTGTGTGTACGTTTGAAAGGGGGAAACAACAAAGGCTCGAATGACCAGGTGGTAACCTTCCAAACAGCTTGATTGGAAGGAATGAACTATATGTGGTGGTGGCGCAAGCATAATGTTACAATTATGGATGGCTTGTAATACCGTCTATGCTTTCGAAGAAATCCTCTTTTTCCCTGATTTAAGTGTTTTTGATGGTAACACTGCAACAGAAGCTTCCTGACAAACCGTGAACAAATATCGCTAAAACGGGATAATATTCATGGTGCCACCAAAACCTTAAAATGGCGGACCAAATACACCAGCTGGGTAATAGTGTCAACAAAACACAACACACTCCTATAGCTTCTTACTTCACACGGTATACACCAAGTGACTGACGAGGTCAATATTACCATTGGCGGAAGGTGCAACAGCACGATTCATCTTTTTTGCATTATGCTTTTTGACTTGGGTATGGTCCCATACGTACATGTACAATGGCTATGGATAACATGGTATCCAGGATACCGTTATACAACTATGCTGCTGCTGGATATGGCATTTATTGGCTGTTGAGGTGGTGGGCACCACAACGTTGGCAACGGGGGGAGTGGGTAAAGTCATACACTAGCAATCTAGAATCTATTGCACATGCATCATTTAGTGTATTTGGCACAACGCTGCAATGAGAATATGACACCATTTACATCTCGTGCCAAAATCCACATTCGCTTCTAGCCTCCGCTTCACGCTATTCTATGAATTCAATTGAACGTAAATAGATAATACTGTAATGGCAGGTGGCCTATCCACTACTATGTATTGTGCATTTGGATAACAATAGAGTGTGATTGATTGCAGAGACCAAATGAGGAGCAGCACATCGTGCTGCTATTTTGGTGCTGTGATGATTGGCTAGAGTGGATACTGGGTTCGTGCAGCAAGGTCGGTGGTGTAAATGGGCTATACCCCTACCGCACCATGGATTGTGCATCGATGATGACAGATGGGATTAAAGTGTGTGAACAAGGAGGTGTCAAAAAGCATAGTGGTGGGAAAACGAGCATGCGCAAGGAGGCTGCCAGAAGGTCAAGACAAAGAAATGGTGCCAACTGCATGATCATTCAAGCATCAACCTTGTCGCCATCATCATGATCGCCATCATCCATTTCAACTATTTAGTATTCTACTTGAGTTGCTGGTCATCATCTCTCTCTTTCGTTTTTTTTCTTATCTTTCCATTCTTCATCATGTTGAGTTGTTCCTACACGCCTAGGTGAATGTGAAGGAATAGGTACCACCATCATAAATATGCCATACGTGTCAAATGAGACAAATGGACGACGTACATCTACATGCATGCATCCAATCTTTCCATGTATGCAGCTGTTGCCTGTGAGTGCCTGTCTTAGAGAAAGCGTATGCAAGGGGTGGACAAAAGAATGGCCAGCTGTTACACTGATAGGTGTTAAGTTTGGATCTCCCTTTAGTGGAATTGCAAGAAGGGGTGTAAAGTACAAGACAACGAATAGTATTATTGATCTTTTATTCGATTCACATTCATTCAAGTGCTGTATGCAAACGAATGGTAGCGAACCAATATTTCAAGCGTGAGACACGATGCACGTCAAAAGATGTATGTGAGGATTGTGCTACGATGCGATCTTATTATGCAGATCACCAAGCAAATAAAAGCGATCAAGAGCAGCAGCTGCTGCATCCTACCCGCGCTTTAACAAAGTGAAGTGTGTGCGTTTTACCCCTCTTTTCTCATCCTTTTCGCTCCAAGTGTCAGATTTTTGACCATTCATGGAAAGACGTCTTTCAAGCTGCATGCATCATGTTCGGTCATTACCCATTTTGGGATAGGCAGTGGATATTGCCCTTGACACCATTTTGCAGACCCAGCGGATGATTGTTCCCCTATAATGAGACAAAGAAATCATTCATGCTAGCGAGAACGTGAATGGCTCACTACACGGCATCGTATATAAAGACAACCAAGAACAATCGATCTATGGGTTATCATCATCAACAAGTAATCCTATCCTTTCATCCTACACCTTACACGCTACCCTAATCTATTACACTCCTCACCATGCTTACTTACATGGAGGTGCACCTTTACTACACCTTGCCAGTCCTTGGTCTTTTATTCATGATCCTTCGTCCCTTTCACTCATCACAAGATACCTTAAAGTATGTTTTCCTATCAACCATTGCGTTTTTGACGGCGTCGCCTTGGGATAATTACATCGTATATCATCGCGCATGGTGGTATTGCCCTTCATGCGTTACTGCAGTCATTGGTCATGTCCCTCTGGAAGAGTACATGTTTTTCATCATCATGTCGCTAATGACGGTGGCATTCACAAACCTGGTGATGCGCTGGCGTCTCCCCAGTGTCTTTGTTAAACCCGATGCGCCTATTGTGCGATCCATGATCATCCGTTACGTGCCCATTGCATCTCTCCTTTCTATTGCAATCCGTGCCTGGGTAAGTCAAATCCGATTGGGTGGTCGATCCCCATATGCACCATTGACCTTGTTTTACTTTTTTACTTTAGAGCATGGCTATCCCTGATACTCGTTTCTTTTATGGTGCTTGCATCCTTTGGTATGTTTGCCCTGTTTTGGCACTTCTTTGGTTTGGCGCTGGAGAATACATTTGCCGTCGCTGGCAAGCTGTGCTTGTATCCATTGTTGTGCCTACCCTTTATCTCTGCTGGGTTGATCAAGTTGCCATTGCTGCTGGAACCTGGCACATTTCATTGCGTACAAGCACTGGTATCCATGTTGCACCAAATTTACCTTTGGAGGAATTTGCCTTTTGGTTATTGATCAATGTCATCTTGGTGTTTGCGACATGCGCTATTGATCGTGCACATGCCATCATGCATTTGTGTGGTGGTCATCAAGGTGGATCGCAATCGATTATTTCCAAAATGGTGAATTTGACATGGGCATTTTGCCTATCGGATCAACAGCTTAGTCGAAAACCATTCCAAGATTCGGAGGTGACATGGTCCATCTTGCGTAAAGCATCCTATTCCTTTTACACCGCATCAGCCGTATTCCCTGTAAACGTGCGTCAAGACCTTGGTGTCTTGTATGGATTTTGCCGTGCCACTGATGACCTTGCTGATGATGAAGCTGTGCCTGTTTCAAAGCGTCGTGAGCAATTGGGTGTCGTACGTGACCTTGTACGAGAATTATTCAGCGCAAAAAGGAAGGCCAACGTCGACTGGATGTCCTATCGTAATCAGCTGCCGGACAGCTGTATAGCATCAATGCGTGCATTTGCCCGTTTAAGACCTGTTCTCGAAGTGGATGCTGTCAACGAGCTGCTTGATGGATACGAATTCGATCTCACTGGCCAACAAATCAAGCATGAAAAGGATCTCGAATACTATTCAGCGTGTGTTGCAAGCAGTGTTGGTGAGCTATGTACACGAGTTATCATGCAAGGCTATTCAAACCATTGGGTTATCAAGCGTGCACGCGACATGGGTCTGGTTCTCCAATACACCAACATTGCTCGTGACATCGTTACCGATAGCCAACAACTTGGTCGTTGCTACTTGCCTCGCACATGGATCACCGACAATGAATATGAATTGATTGTTTCTGGTTGTGCTCGCAAGTTGGGTGATGCTCGTTTACGACAATTGGCTTTGCGTTTGGTTGACATGGCTAAGGAACTTGGTGACCATGCTGAACGTGGCATTGATCGCTTACCTCAAGATTGCCAAGGTGGTGTACGTGCTGCATGTGCCGTCTATAGCGCTATTGGTGATGAGCTAATCAAGGCGAATGGGTATCCCACAAGAGCTCATGTCTCTACCCTCAAGCGTGCTTGGATTGTATTGAAGAGTGTATATGACATTAAGACTCCCTCCTCCTTGTATTCCTCATCCGATTCATCTTTTCTTGTCAACAAGTTGAGAAAAGGCAAAGTGCGTGCATTCATGATTGATTAGCATTAGTAATTATACCTTTGAATAAAACATTGCTTCGTTGTTCATTCCTAAATACCTTTATCGTCATGCTATATTGAATCCAAGCATCGATACTAATAATGGTCATTGAGATACAGGGAAGGAAAGAAAATTGAAAGTAGGAATGTGTACGCATATAGTTATTCGTCATCGGCTTGCTACAAGTATGGATTGAAGTAAGACAAAATGTTATTTGTCCTCTCGATAGGATGATGGGGGGTTGGTTAGAGTAAAGAGGACTAAAAAGGCAGTGATGTTTGATATTCCAGAAGCGTGTACCGATGTGTTGGATATTTTTATGCTTATGCTTCATCTATGATGACAATCCAATAGTCATATGAGCAGCAGCAATGATACACACAAGGATCTCGTGTACATGTGTGTGAGCAAATGGATGACTAAGTGGGGTTGAGAGCATCCATTGATGGCTTTGATGACAATGTGAGATGTGGCGTAGTGGTGATGGTGGTAGCATCACAAAATCACACGTAGATGAATTCCATTACTTCTGGACCCAAAAGCACCCCAAGAGACCTAAAAAAGAACAAGGAAATGCGGACCTAGAATGGAATTGCACTGCGCAAGGCAAACACTGCCATGAATGCAAGACAAATTGACAAAAATGAAACTATTGGTGACACACGTGGTTCTCATGCTGGGATCGTCGATTGTCCAAAATCGGATTCAAGAAGTACGAGAAACATCAGAAACGGCATTTTAATTCGATTGGTAGGTACCACCTTTCCTGATATTCTTTCGTTCCGCCATTTCCTGGAAAACGCATTTTTCGTCAAATTTGGTATAAATCCACAGCCTCGCTCGTTGCATTCACCCCCCTCGCACCCCTCTCTTTCTACTTTAACTCTCTTTTCTCATTTATACGCCTACTACTTGCTTTATTCTAACAACACCCCTTTTTCCTTTCTTTCTTCTTTAACAACGTTTGAATGTCTTTCGCACAGACCACGACATTACCATCCATTTCACATTTGCTCAACGGCCATCCATCATCTTCACCGCCTTTGCCACCACGTTTGCAGACAACACCAGCTTTCAATCTATCACCTGCGTCGCCTGTTTCATCTCATCCACCATCATCACCACCATCGCTTATTAGCAGTATCCATTCACCTCAAAGTAGTAATAATGATTTGTTACATCCTTTGTCGGTGAATGGTAGTTCACCGCTATTGTCACCGGTAGACTCGTGCAAATCGCCGCTCACAGCAAATGCCTCGCTGTCACCACGTTCTATGCCAGCAGCTTCGGTTTCAGTGGTTGATGATTTACCACCATTACAAGGCTATGATCCTCCCGTGCGTAAATTTTCATCATCCAATACGCTTCATCCACCAACCCAAATTGCCCCATGGAGTTCTCGAGATCATATCCATAATACCAACACCACCACATTACATGTTTCTCCTCCACCAGCTTCACCTGTTATGAACACAACATCATCATCTCGGAATAATAGTATTGCTAGCAGCAGCAGTAATAGCAATACGTTATCTTTACCATCACCTGCCATGTCACCTTGCCAAGAGAAAAAACAGCCAAGCAGATCTATGCGTCAACAACAGCAACAACAACAATCAAGCACTCCCGCGCCACCATCTACCCAAATCATCATATCCCCGACTGGGCAACCTATCCTTAAACGCCGGCGAGGACGACCACCAAGTAATCGAGAGCCACAACAAGAAGGTGGTTGGACCTTTTTGACACCAACGGTGTGGGATGTCAAGCAAACGGCCACCCCTGTCATAGGCACATGTGCATCAAATGTATCTTCTTCTACTACTACAACCCCATCATCATCTTCTACAAATGGCACATTGCCATCAGCAGGCGAGAATAACGATATGCAAGGATCCATGGCTGCATTTACTAGTTCAACAATGGAAACCGTATTGCAGATGCCAAGAAAGAAACGAGGACGTAAACCTAAAACACACATTGAAGGAAACTCATGCTTTGTGTGGAGGGATCTTCCATGCACGAGATCGCCATCCCGCTCTTCCAAAAAGATCAAGCGCTCAGACTGAAACATACACACACACACACATCCACCTTTTGATACGCTTGTCCCGTTTTTCCATGTCACCTTGTCTCCTTTGGTTGTCACATGTACCATATATCCCTTTTTTCTCTCCATCTGTGGCACAAAGTAGTAGTCTATGTTCACTCTTTTCGACCTCCTCATTGTCTCGTTCTTGTTTCTTGTCATTTCCCCATCATCATCGTCATCCATCAGCATCATTTCGTGTGTACTTTATTATGCTATCATTCAATGTCTATATATATATATATGTCCTCTTTACATACCATCCACTTCATCCCAACTCATCTGCTACCATTGTAATAAAAGAAGGTCCAAATATGAAAATGTTCGGTCGGATTGGTTGCTTTTACTTCTTTTGTATATCACATGGCACTGAAGCTTGCATGGGAAAAATGGAGCACTAAAGCTGCTACTTCATCAGCACCTCTTGTCATTTGTCATGGGCTCTTTGGTTCGAAGCAAAACTGGCGATCGCTCGCACGTGCATTCAACACACGACTCTCCCGCGACATTTACGCAATAGTAAGGTCATCAGCTCGTATATCGAATCGTTGACGATGCTCACTCAGTGTCCAAAGGATCTACGCAACCATGGTGATAGCCCTCATAATGCCACCCATACATTCGATGCCATGGCCGAGGACATACGTACCTTTTGTGCTGATCATGGACTTGAACGGCCTGTGCTTCTTGGACACTCCATGTAAGTTGTTGTGGACATTGTGTATGATAATTGACATAGTTGCCTTATACGTTGTCGTCGTCATCAGGGGTGGTAAAGCAGTAATGACAACAGCACTCAAGTATCCATCGATGGTATCACAGCTTGTGGTGGTTGATATGCCTCCAGTGCAATTGCCCGTTGCTCATAGCTTTGCGAAGTATGCTGAAGGAATGCGATGTGTGGAGCAAGCAAGTCCAAGTCGATTGGCTGAAGCGAACAAGATCCTTGCCGAGTTTGAGCCCAACGAAGGCATTCGTCAATTTCTCCTCACCAACTTGCGACGTGATACCGACAACCAGCTACGATTTCGTGTTCCTTATGATTTGCTCACCAATTCATTGTCTGACATTGCCAGCTTCGATGTGAAAGGCTCATACAAAGGATCGACTCTATTCATCACCGGTGGTATCAGCCCTTATCACCAACACTTTGTCGATAACAAGGATACCATACGCTCCATGTTTCCAAATTCGACCTTAGAGACGATCGATGGTGCTGGTCATTGGGGTAAGTGCACAATCAACCAGGATTTGGATGATAGCTGACATGGATCGTTGGTGTTGTTATTACCAGTGCATGCCGATAAACCAGAAGCATTCCTCAACCTGGTGACACAATTTCTCAACAGCCAGCATTGATGCGAACTTTCCCGCCAAACAATAGAGAGTGCTTATTAGTAGAGGAGGACAAGGTGTATCGAGGAAACACATGCATAGATAGAATTATAGATGTTGATCCAACATAGCCTCCTTCACTTTTATTATTTGTATAATACATTTGTATCATTATCCAACGCCGTCTCCTTCTTTATATAATACAATGCAATATCAGCCATCTTCTTTATCGTGCACCGTTGTATCATCCTACAGTATCAAAGAACACATGCGATGCACAAGCGGGGGGCAAGTGACCTTTGTTCACGAACATCCGAGATTACAACCCCAAAATTATCACATTACAGTAGTAGCAGCAGCGAATAGCTGAATCGCTACCGATTACATCGAGAGGTACACACCCGTTTGGATCGACGCACAACAAGTTAAAGCCCGAAAACGAAGAGAGGGATCCAATCGGCTTTTAGACGATTGCAACAATAAGCCGATGTACTCCTACCACTTGCCATTTACAAAAGAAAATCCAGTCAAATTTACCATTGTAGTAGGCTCTAACCGCTGCCAGGAAACTTGTTATCTTCTCTAGCTTCCCGATCATTCACGAGCAACGAATTCTCCTTTCCGTTGTATTTACGTACGTACGTATTCTTTCTGATTTGTGCCATCCGGTTTATGCCATCTTGTTTGCTTTTCAACCAATTCCCTTTTCTGGTGGCATCATTGTAGGATACAGAAGATAATCCTTTACCACCAACAAGCAAATGTAAAAGCATAACCTTGTCATTTATGCTCAAAGGGATCAGCTTGTGACGAGTAAGGACAAATGAAGGGGTCTCTTCGTTTATGCTCATGGATCCATTTTCTCGGATACACTTAAATCATCCAGCTACAACAACACCAAGGACCATTAGCTGCTCAACACATCCAGAGTGCACCCTTCACCAAAGTTGTTGCTATGTCTCCCATCCTACCTTTGTTGTTCAAGTAATAGCATGAATTTGTTCTTTGTTCAAGGCATGAAATTCACACAAGACACATACACGGGCACACACAACTTGCACATAGATACACGCACGATGCAAAGCGAATGAGCACACTCTCTTTACTATCACAAATGAACCACCGCAGGAATGTTTCCTTGTTTCTTTAATGCTATTGCCGCTGCATATCCGAAATCCCGTTTCGTTGATGACCTTTTAAAATGTCTCGATGATGCTGTCGTGCTTTTTCCCAACTGCAACATAACGATACACACACCATCATTACCACATGTTGTGGGCAGCAACGACAACATCGACATCGACCATAGCAGCAACAAGGCAGCAGGATGAACCGTATCATGACATGTGTACGCTGTCATCATCCACGTCTACTTCACCTTCTCCCTTTGATTACTTTCACAGAATGACTCCCAACGCAGCAGCTGCTGCTGTACAACAAGTCATTGGTACCGATAATCGATCCACAGACCCATCGACTACTACCACCCCACCCCCACCCCCACAACAACAACCATCATCATCAAGTACGGGTGGTGGTGTCTTATCCCCTCATCAACAAACAACAACAGCAGCAACTCCACCCTCACCCAACAACAAGTCGTCGACAACGATCCCCAACAACAGTACGTCATCATCCATGACATCTTCTTCGTCATCTGCTGCAGCAGCGAAGCGGAAAAAGAGATCACACAAGTATATGGATGACGAGGAAAAGAGGAAAAACTTTCTTGAACGGAATCGTCAAGGTATATAAATAATAGGCAACATGATGAATGGCCCCTAAAACTAATAATTTGTAAATGGTAGCCGCTCTCAAATGCCGACAGCGCAAAAAGCAATGGCTGAATGAATTACAAGCAAAGGCCGATTACTTGGCTGCAGACAATGAGCAACTTCAAATGCATGTGTGTATGCTACGAGATGAAGTAATTAGTTTGCGGCAAATGTTGTATGCCCATCGAGAATGTCCAGTCACCAAGCAACAACAACAGCAACAACAGCAACAGCAACGAGCGGCTCATCATCACCCTCCTCATCCTAACACGGATACAGCAGCAGCGGCTGCAGCTGCCATGGTTAACATGATGCCACCTTCGCCTGTTTCCTCTTCACAACAACAACCAGCAGCAGCTCCGCCGCAACAACAACATCAACCGTATGCTGATACCGAATACTATTCTTCATTTAGTGGGTTGCTCCATCATCAAGAAAACGGTGGGATACCTTCACCTGATGGATTAAATGTCACCACGCCTGGTGCAGGTGGTGCAGCAACAACAGCAGGAGCGAATGTACAGGTTCCTCCGCAAGATAAAGCCGTTCTCATGTCCGATCCAATGGTTCTATCAGCTTGTAAGTAAACATCTCGCTCTCTCTTTGTTCAATAAGGAGATGTTGTTGATGATAATAATAAATCATGACGGTAAATTTGTAGCACAACAATCAAATCCAGCCACCATGTTACGGCCGTGGTGATCAAAGAAAGACATTGATTGTCATTCGAGACGACCTTCAGGTTCCTTTATAATCGTTTTCTTCTTTTATATATACATTTATATCAAAACAACATACACACCAGCAGCACATACCTTTTGATTTGCCTTGTTGTTGTTGCGTTTATTGCTTTGATGATAACGCTAGAGATGCTTTTTGTTTCTGATGGTAGTAGTAGTAGTAGTAGCTTTGTGTATTTGGCGAAAGTGCTAAAGTGCATATTGTATGATAAACCGGGCGGCGATACATGCATAGTCAATGGTGCCGGTTGAAGCAATAAAAGACAGCATCTTTCTTTTTCCTCTTTCAAAAAAGCCATGTGGTCCATAAATGAGCTGAATTGCCTCTCCCCCTACTAGCGAGCCTTGATGACATCCAACATGAAGCAAAACAAGAATCAGGCTACTCTACTAGAGCCGAGTTGGGGTTTGCTTATCTCCTGATTAGATAAATTGTTATCAGTGTAGTGGGATGACCGAAAAGGGGGCCCGATCGTTGCACAAAAAGGGTGTGACACCAATGTTTGCCGCATGAATACTCACCTTGTTTGGATGAGATCGTCATCTATGCCACGCCCGGAAGCTTAAAAGATTAACCCAAGAAAGGTAAAATAAAGCATATCATTTTGTGTGGCGAGATGCTATCTATTCAACGTGGCATGCTTATTTTCTTATCAATGAGTGGTGTGTGCATCATTGCATTTCTAAGACTGTATGTAGTATGATAGCAGCTGATTGATGTTGATAATGCTACTTTTACGAGCGCTGAGATGAAATGTAGGTCATATACACGCATGTCTTCGGACAAACGTTTTATGCTTTATCTATTAACATGCATCATTATGCCAAGCATGGGTCTCGAACTCGATTAAATAAAGAGTACCTATGGTAGATAATGGGCTGGCATATTGTACCACGAGCCCGGCTGAAGAAATAAGCAGACGCTTTATTTTCAAACAAAGAACCCGTTTCTCTCCTTCAGGGGGGTGGATGATACGAATATCGTGATTCATCAAAAGACAGCTGAGAAGGTCATCCGACAATGTCAGGATGATGAATGAATGAATGAATGAATGGACCTACTACTGTATGCTGGCGATGATATCATGGAGCTGACAGACGTCGTCATTGTCATCGGTAGTTCATGTAAGATCGATCCGTGTTGTATTATAAATATCCTTCGGGATGCTCATTAGTCCAAAAAGAGAGAACGTAAATGGGTTCCCTGCCAAAGACATCAAAGGATTGCTGGTCATAGTAGTACAGAAGGCTGTCTTCCAATCTCACCATGCTACATCTATTATTCAAGAAAGGAGCAGGTGGAAACACCTTGTCCCGCACCCGTAACTCTCGTTTCTTTATAAACGCCCTTCTTCCAAAGCAACAACAATGTAGACCGTTCTTCATGTTTGGTGCTGGTAAGTGGAAATGGACACGCTTTATTCAATACCATTGACTCTAATGCGTTCTAGACAATCGAGCTCTTTCGCCCATCAAGGCAACCACCAACAAGTTTGACCCTTCCGATCGCCACCTCGATGGTCTATTGGAGCACAATCGCCAGTGGGCCAAAGCTGTCAAGAAGCAGGAACCTGATTTCTTTGAGCAAATCAACCTGAAGCAAGAACCCAAGATACTTTGGATTGGTATGCACCCTTCCTTCCTTTGCGTGATAGTGTCAACGACCATAGGCTTCTAACACATCGTCTATTGTATTAGGATGTTCGGATTCACGCGTCCCTGCCGAGCAGATATTGCAGCTAGGACCAGGCGAACTCTTTGTACATCGCAACATTGCCAACGTGGTCCCCAATGGTGATATCAATTGCTTATCCGTCATTCAGTACGCTGTGGAGGTGCTCAAGGTTCAACATATTATTGTGTGTGGTATGTACCTTTCAATGATGGATGATGATCCACCTGCTTGCTGCTCGTAGGCTGATGATAACCGTGGGAATTTATGCTAGGCCATTACAATTGCGGCGGTGTGGCAGCAGCATCTGGAAATGGTCAATACGGGCTGATTGACAACTGGTTGCGTAATATCAAGGATGTTTATAGACGTAAGTAAAGAAATCTCTCTTGGTGTGTGATGGGCATATCGAGAAATGACACCCCCTTTTTCATTTTTTCTTCTTCATAGTATATGCCAAAGAACTTGAAGCTATCCCAGATGAAAAAGCCCGATTCCGACGTTTGGTTGAATGCAATGCAATCCACTCGGCTGAAACCATATGTCACTCCACCATTGTACAGAATGCATGGAAGAACAACCAGAATCTTACAGTGCACGCTTGGGTCTATGATCTTGCGGATGGGTAAAGTATCCAGGATTTCAATTTACTTTGTGTACATGGCATCTTACAACACCGTTTTGTGATAGACATGCGCGACGTCTCAAGTTCACTGCACATGACAACCATTCCCTTGGCAACATTTACAAAGTAGCATGATGATAGAAAGAGATACGGCATATACTTTTTTATATAATGAAGGGAAGGAAATGATGAATGAATGAATGGACGGATGCGAAAATAGAAAGAGTGGTGCGTGTATATATATGTATGTGATATTTTTCCTGTTGCAAAACCAGCAGCAACATAATGTGGAGCGTTGTTGTTGATGTTGTTGCCATGAAACTATTTACAGCGGCAAATGATGGAAAAGGGATCGATTGTAAACGATATAGATTTTGATATTTTCTCGGAGGATATGGGTGGCCTGATGCAGAGGTGGGAAAATGCCATGACGCATGAGCCATCGATCGAGTGCTTCCTGAACGAGATGATCGGGCACATTGCCAAATTGCTCCATATCAAAGGCTCGGTTTGGTTTGATGAGAGGTTGTTTGGGACTCCCTGGCCAGTAAAATGAAAACCCATATGGATCATCCTCGCTCTCAGAAAGGGTGACATCGTGTAAAGGAGCCGTAAGCACTACCCGAAGAATGGCCTTGGGCTCGCCTGTGATCAATTCGGTAGCAGTAAAAAGACGCAGTGGTGTGGTCAATGCACGTGACATGACAATACTGCCGCTGAGTTGATATGTCCTTGTCAGAAAACCTCGAAAGCCATTGATTCTCTATAAACAAGATCCATTGTTGGATAAAGATTGGTTCATTTAATATTATGGGTATAAAAAAAGAGATTTAAGATAGGTAGTAGCAGCAGTAGATGGCATGATTGGGGAAAAGTAGTATTGGGTAGGAAGATCATGTTACCTTTTGAACATGTTTTATCCGGATGACAGGTGGAGGAGGTGGAGGAGGAAGTGGTGCATCAAGGTGGTTGTCTTGGTGTCGTTGACTATTATGAGTAAATTGCACTTCTTTGTGTGGTGAATCGGGAGGTGTGATAGGTTGTCCTCGTTGTTGTTGTACTGCGGTAGTAGATGTCAAGAGATGTTGTGGATACTTTTGAGGAGTTGGAGGAGGTGTTTCACTGTTTCGAGTAGTAGTAGGTATGCTTGGAAGTCGTTTAGCTGTCGTATCAATAGGATGATAGTAGTGGTTGTGGCTGTTATTGTCATCGACAGGTAATGGGGATGTTGATGGAGTTGGGGGTAATGGAAAAGAAGGAGGTGGATGAAGCGGTGGTGGAGGAGGAGTATGATGATGGTGAAGAGGAGCACCAGCAGCAGTGGTCGTGGTATGATGCTGATGTTGATGATTCGATGATGATGATGATGGTGGTGGTGGTGGTACTGGTTTATTCACAAGCTGATCGTCAAACTCGCTAGAAAGGCGAGCGATGGTTTTTTGTAATGACTTTGATCGTTCCAAAAGCTGATAATAGCGTTCCAATTCTTGAGGGCCATCATCTGCTGCTGCTGTTGTTCAAAAAGGGGAAATTGAAAATGGTTGGTATGTCACCTGTCAATCTCGCGCTGCTTCCTCGATCAACTTTTATACACTTACGAAGCTCTTTTCTCGGTGGTATAGGGGCTTTCGATGTTGAAGAACATGTGTTACTGTCATGTCGTTGTAGGACTTGAATGCGGCGTTGGAGGTTCTCAGCCATGGTAATGACCTTGGTGTAATGCGTACGATCAGACTCGGAATGCAGCTGCGATGCCAAGGCTGACAAGGGCTGTTTGGATGAATGACGAATAGTCGAGCGACGACGACTCATATTCTGTTCTTGCATTTGGACCATGATTTACAGCCGACCATATTCTGATAGAAAGGATAAAAGGTGGATGTAAAGTAGTGAATAAAGAAGGAAAGAGAGACGTATATAATAAGGGAGAAATCTATGTGTGAATGTGTGTGTACGAGTGAGAGTGTATGTGGAATGCAAGGAGTGAGAATAACAAAGAGGGATTGGGGGCTACTTTTGAACTTTAAAGAGCACAGTGATCAATCGACAATTGTAGAAGGGCACATGCCAAACACTAAAGCACTCACATCTACTACAACCCCCCCTTGATCTATCCGTTACCATCACCCACTCACAACCATCATCATTACTTTTACCATAGTATGTACGTAATTGCATGTAGACAAATCGAGTATGAATGTTGCTGCTCCTTATTACAATGAAAGCAATGATGGTGCATCACACGTAAAACATCTCAGGGTATCTGGTTTTGATTTTAATTCATGCATGGCCAGAATCAGAACTACCATGTATGTGTGTCATGGTGCACAAGGTAAAGAAGCTAGGTGACACACACACGCAGCACACGCTTGCATCCAATTTGGTTGCTTGGTACAACATCCCATTGTTGATGTATTCTTATGCAAGGAAATCCAGGCATATTGATTATTCACGCATATGCAGCATCATCCACCATCTCCACCACCACTACCTACCTCCTCTTTCTCCTCATTCACCATCATCGTCCCTCACAAGGAACATGCACACCATCATTTATGCATCCAATTTATACCTGCTGCTGCTGCTGCTGCCACCATGTAAGCATGTATCTTATCATCAACATGCGTATACACGTAATCAAGAAGCCATTGTTCATTTTGTGTAGTGGTGTATGTTTATTCATCAGGGAAAAGGAATATTACTACGTGATTACTAGAACGAATCAAAATAAGCGAGGGTGTTTGAAAAAGTGATCTCATTGATGATTGACAGACAAAAGGAAAGGAGTGAATAAGAAAGAAGATGATAGAAAGAGGACGGGAAAAAATAGTGGTTAGAATGCGCTGTACTATATATAATGACGTGCATGGAAAAAGAAAAAGGATTCATAAGACGGGTATGCATAAAAAGTCGCGAGGATGTGATAATAGACGGGAATGGAAAACATAAAATCTGCAGATTGGGAACATAAAAAGGGCATAGTATAGAAGAGGTTGGCGGTGGCGCGTCAAGATATCAAAAAGTTGGGGAAAAGGTATGGCGTGTGTGTATGCAAAAAAGTCAAAAACGAATAAAATGAAAGGATGATGGGGGTATTTTGTGGCTGTGAAGGCTCACATTTTAAAAGCAAAACGAGGCATCACGTCGAGGACCTGATGCTGGTGGAGCAGGGTATGACAGCATGATCGTGGGCAATGCATCATGATGAGCGGCTGAAGGTTTGTTAAGAGGTGGTAAAGTATTGTTGGTGAGTGGTGGAAGAGAGAAGCATGATTCACGACGCCAATATGAGACGGGTGGCAATTGGTTGTTGCTATTGAAGGGATAATGCTGCTGCTCAGGCGAAGTAGGGGACATGATGATGGTATCTCGAGGGGATGCCAAGGAAGGAACTGGCGACGGGGGTGTCATCATCGTATCAGGCACCACCTTATTTCCCCATGTTGCTGCTGGTGATGTACAAGCACCCAACATGCTGGTGGATGGGGATGACGTAGGTGTGGTTACAACGGAAGATGTTGAAGAACAAGTGGACGATGATGATGCACGTCGTTGTTGTTTCTCGGTAGGCAACTCGTATGGTTTCCATTGCAACGAGGCTCGTTTAACAATTGGGCCATGAGCAAGCTTTTGATGCTTTGTCAATACTGTTTTGCGTGCAAAGCTCTTGTGGCAACCATCGTATCGGCATTGATAAGGACGTCGGCCTGTATGAATTCGACGATGACGAGCAAGCGAGCTGCTGTCACTGAAACTCTTGCCACATTCAGGATGTTCACAAACATGAGGCCGCTCACCAGAATGGGTGCGAATATGGACTTTGAGAGCAGAGCGCTAAATACACGTAACAATGCTATCAGTATTACAATACACGATAAAGGGGACCTCTTTCCTTTTTCACGCATGTGTTTATCTTATGCACTTTTGATAGTCTCCTCTCATCATGCTCCTCTCTTTTACACTTTTTGACCATTTTTGCCCTCGCTTTTACTCAACAGCTCTCCTTGAGATCACTGATTACATACCTGAATGAAACGCTTGCCGCATCCAGGTTCGTCACACGCATATGGTCTGTAAAAGGAAAGCGGATGAGATTTTTTTTCTCCTTGGGCGAATCAAAAGGGTCACATTAATACTTACCGTTCATTAGTATGAATACGTTGGTGTCGGGCAAGATCCGAACGACGGCCTATATCATAAGCTTGGTGAGTGACACATGCCATTGTGTGTGCGTATGTGGCCATGTTTGTGGCCAAAACAAGATGATGGTATTTACCAAAAGCCTTGTTGCATTCATTGCATCGATGTTGCTTGTTGGCGTTTTGTTGCGTGTCAACGTTGATCAATTCAAGAATATCCATGATGTCGTTTTTTTTGGGCTTTTTGTTTATCTGATCTGTGTAATACATTGGACCGCTCATGTCAATCTATGTATGTGTATGCTGCATTTGTTGTTGTGTGGATGTACCTTTTGCAGAGGTGTGTTGTGTGCTGCGGTAATCGTATGTTGATACAAGTTGAAAAAAAGTTGTTGGGTGGATACAAGTACAGTTGATCAAGAAAAGAAGAAAAAAAGAGGTGCGATATCAGTGCACGCCTGTAATGATGAGCGCGTTTATCTGTGACCAGTAAAGGGCAAGGGGAAAGAGGGTAAGAGAAGTGTCCTGTCAAGCTTATATTTATATCGTTGCCATGACATGCGGTTGAGTGTAAGCTTCTGAATCAAAAAGCAGGGGGAAAAGCCATGATTGTTGGGGGAGAGAGGATTGGGAAAGGAAAGCAAGCGTGGAGTGTAATATAATTCAGGAGAGCGAGATTAGCACAAGGAAGCGCGTAAGACGGATTTGATATCATCCACCCCACCAACACGTAAGCATATGGGAAGCACATATAAAGCACGCTGCTGCATGATGTATGAGGATGAAAAGAGAAAAGGGGGATATAAAGGGAGTGGTACCCAGTTGGGGGTTGGGGGTGACAAGCGGATCGAGTGATCGAAGATGCATAAAGCTCTTTCAATGATCGCCAGCTCTCGGCTGCTGTATATTGGGGGTTGAGGGAAAGATGACATCCCCTGGATTTGAAAAGTCAAAATAGGCAGACGCATGAATACAATACGATGTGAGAATTCCATTTGCCATAATCGTGAGTGCATGCCGAAGCACACGACGCCTTTTTACTCAGATTTAAACGCCCATTTGATGATGACCGGTTGGACCCTTGTTTACCTTTTCAAGTGATTGATCCTCGACCTAACAATTGACAAGCTTTCCAAAATGGTCAACAATGACATGTAATACGTCATTTGAAAGAGTGTCCGGTTTTCTTTACGCCATTCGAGAAGCAATCTATTAATGTACAACGCACATTACCCACCATTCTACTCGCATTGGCCCTACTTGGTCGAGACATAAACTGCATGTGCATATTGGATACACATCGTCATCCAACATAAATGCACAATAGAGTCATTGTCATGATGTAGTGGAAAATAGAAACAAAGGGCTGCCCTATGATATTGTTGGTCTGGATTGAGAGAAAAAAGGAAACTGTCAGTGCGCACCTTAACCTTCCTCTTTCGATAACGGCCTTTTTACATACCATTGGAATGCCTTTTGATGACGATTTACGTGAAAAAAAGGATCGATTGCGTGTATATGGTAATAGAAAACCTGCACCGAAAACGACAAACGTACGTACACGACATCATTTGGTAGAAGGATTCCATGTTGGAAATTGGCATATCGTACGTAATAACAAGCTTGGCAGCTGTTACTATTACTACTGAGTTTGACAAGTGTCAAAGGGGGTAGGCGATGAAGCATACATCAATGGGTGATTGGTGCGCAAGTCGTGGCATCCTGAATTACATCGTCGGTCGCGAATGTGAATGATGTCGTACTGCATGCATATCCTATATTACGCTTTGCTGGGTTTCTTTATTTGGGGGTGGAAAACAGGGGTGATCAAGGAGAAAGGTGGAGGTTGTAATACATAGTTGCGTATGTTTTTTGGGGGAGATGACAAAATGGCACGCTTTGTATATTTTATCCATCCATACAAACGGCACCATGCAGAGTCAAAGTGCCTACCAAAAAGAGGATTGTGCACGAACCACGCGACAAGGAACAACATGTCGCCGTTTCGCGAAGAAAAAACAACTTGGTATGTTGTATCGGGCAGCATTTTTTGTCATCCATACAGCACATAGAGATACCCAATGATAACATGTTGGTAGGATTACCTTACGATCTCATTCTACTTTTTGATGATAGCAAAGAGCTATACCCTTTCCCCTTCACGACCTACTAGTGTGTGTGTAGGCTTCTTTTCTCCACCTTCTTTCTTTCCCTCCCTTTTTTAACGTACGTGTCTCAACTCCACTCCTTGATTCCAGAAATCCCTGACTGCACCCTAATGCCACGATTCAAACTCATGGCCGTGTGTAATGTACAACAATTGTCGTCATTGTGTCACTTCCGGAGATGAATATTGCTTATGCTGATCACCTATTACACACACACAACACGCACGCAGCTCCACTTTGACTCTGTCAAAGCAGCTCCGTTTGTTGTATAATGCTTGCTGATCCCCCATCATCATCATCCCTTTCCTTCTCGTTGCCATTGGAGATTCAAAATGCTGGTGTGCAAATGTGGATTACCCCACAACCAAACTCGCCTTGCAGTTACCATTTTCGTCCATGTCTAGCAAGGTTGAGAAGAAAAACGAAGAGGAGTTTCGCATCATTTAAGGAGCACATTTATCAACGTGGTGGATTGAGACATTGGTGTATGTATACGCATGCCATCAACCACGTCAGCGGTTTGAAAAAGTGAGGGTTGCGTGGTGAGCAAAACGGCATCCATTAAACTGGAATCCAATTTTGTTGACCTAATGTTTATACCCATCATCACCTCTAGGTTATTACCACATTTGACCTTGTCAGTAATTGGAATTGCTCCTCCTCTCTTTCCGACCTTGCGTTGATCTGCATGCATTTAAGTTTATGATGCTCCATTTGTCTTTCATTGTTATTTTCGCCAAGACGACAATCATTAATACGTTTTTGCCCACCGTATTAAAGAACCATACGTGGATAATACCCGGTATCATAGAGCATCCAGGGGAGGGGGGGAAGAATGGTTAAAGAGGGGTCAAGGAGTTCAAGGCGAAAAGGTGGTGGTGACGTTGGGGTTGAGTAGGAGAGGAGAGGTAAACGTTTTGTGGGGGTTGGGTCGGCGGCTCTTTAGAGTCAAATGTGACAACCCCTCTGGTTGCTAAAAAGTACTTTCCCATTGCATTACAAAAGTATGTATGTACAGCATGCACCGCCATTATTATACTACCTCTTTGGACCCAGCACACATATTATTATGCACCCATCATTATCGTGTGCTGCGTGCAACCACCTTTTGAGACTCTTCTTTTTTTTCCCTCCCTCTCTCTCTCTCTATTCCTCTTTCTTCAATCCATGACATGACATGTCCACTTTGCATTGGTCCTTTTCGTATCTCCTTTTCAGGTTGGATTTGTTTGTGTCAGCATTTATGAATCAAAAAGTAAGCTCCTGATTGCTATAATGCATATCATAGTTACATCAGCAGACCCACCTATCCCATACGCGTGGTATATGAAATATAGAAAAAAGGGCGGTGATCCATGTATGTATGGTTTTACTTTTTCTCCTTGACTCGAAAACAAAGGCTGGAGTAGGTTAGTTAGCAGGAGGTAATTGAAACAGGTTTTATGGATATGGAACAAAAAGGATCAGCATTATGATGACACCAATCACCCTGATTATCCATTGTCTTGGAAAGAGCATCCGCTATGTACTCTATGGTGATGTTTTTTTACCTATCCTCCCAAAGCAAATGATCTTTGTGGTGGTTAGTTTTACTTTCATTGTATGATTGTGTAATAAGCACCATCAAAGGAAGGTGAATGATTTCGGAAACATGCAAAAGAAAAGGAAAACGCCTCCTCCTTCCTTGCTCAACGTTGAGCAAAATTGCTGTTCTCATTGCCATACTTTGACCCCTCTCAAAAACGTTGCATTTGTAAGAAGAACCATCCCCTTCCACACGTATACACATATATACACCCTCTTGATGGGATAAGGATTAAGCACCCTCGTGGCATGTGTACCAGCACCAGCACCAGTGTAAAGACATACGCACCTTGTCCCTGCATGTCATATCGATGTATGGCTATTCGCATTCAAGGCAATGGTAGTGGTTAGTATAGGGAGATCACTTTTTCATTATGCACACTTATCATGCTGTGCACATGTCACAGCAGTGATATGAAAAAAGGATGATGTATTGCGGACTGCAGTGACATTTATATGCCGAGAAAAATGAGTGCCATGTGCTACAACCCCGTCGTGCCGACACTTCCGAATATGCCGGTGTGAAACGATACCACTTTTTTACCCAGCTCTCCTTTTTCGTCAACGACACTATCATAGCACAGGTAGCAAATGCCTCGAAGTGAACGTGGCACGTATTGTGAATATAGTAAGGATGGAAGTACACATCAATGTGGTGGGGGGGGGCAAATGTGTGTGTGTGGTCATTCTTTTTTCATTTTCATTGCTGCAACCAACAACGGCTCTTTTGCTGCATACATTATACTTAGTACAGCAAAGGCCCAGACCGGAGAAGAGTTTTACGTATAATAATGATAAGAAGCGATATTTTTTCTTGTGAAAATGACATATGTGCCAGAAAGGAAAGTGGGATTGCGATTGGTGCACAAAGATGTATTGTATCCGATAGTGGAAGTAGTAGTAATAGTCATTGTAATAGAAATCATGGCTTCTTGTTGATGGGATGGTTTCAAGATGTGGTAATGGTTGTGGGTGGCAGGATCATATGCTGTATCATCATCCGCGGTCAATTTCTTTTATATTATGTTATGTACGCGTGATCATATCACACATCTCCTTTTCTGACGTACTACAACAAACACTTCTCACACACTCTCCTCTTTCCGCCAACGCTCACTTTGGCCCGCCTTTTCCTCACTCACGTTGGTCATTTTGCCGACGAGTGCTTCTCGCCACTACCCCAATGAACGCTCTCATTGCATTGCTGCACTTTTGTGAAGTCCATGGCCCCTCAGTTGTCTTTTGCACTCAACCAACTCATAACAATGAACACCGTCAACAGCAACCCAACACCTCCTTTGCTTCCGATGCATCCGCCATTGCAACTGTCATGAGCAAGCTCACCATGGCCACCAACCCCAACACAAACAACAATAATAATACCAGCACTATCAGTATACCTACCACCTTCAATATGGATAAGCAACATTTGGGTATGCCAAGTTCTTTATCGTCAACACCCTCCACGGCTGAACCACCGACACCTCCCAGTACAATACCCCGTGTATCATCACCTGTACCGCCCTGGAAGAAACCTGGTAGCAGTAATAGTAATATTTGTGTACAACAACAACAACAACTTCCAACATCTTCATCATCATCGTCATCATCAATCATCATCCCTTATTCATCATCCACAACAACAGCACCTCCCATCTCATGTCGATCCTCTTCATCCTCTTCATCCTCATCCTGCTCAACCACATCATCAGTTACTGCCACTTGCTGTGCAGCATGCTCAGCCCAATTACCACTTGTGCAACCCACCACAGAAGGTGTTCCATCTGAAGCTAAACGTCTGGTGACAAGAGATAGCGAAGATCCTTCAGTCGAATACGTTGGTGCTAAAGGGGGTCCACAACAATTGCATTTGTATAAGGCTGTTCGTCTCGCTTGTGTTCGAAGGTAAACGTTGTCAAGATTTATACATATCTTGTTGCTTATCATTATCATTATATAGCTTGACAACTGAGTTTTGCCCAGGACGAGAAGGACCCGTGTTGTTTGGTGATGAAGAAAATGGTTATGTGATGAGCTATCTATTCAAGATCAGGGATGCACAAGCAAGAGGCGAAGCTCGATTCTATGCTATCATGATTCTAATGACGGATCGCGTGTTTTTAATCTCATGTTGGCCTTTTCTTGTCAGGTATCTATCCAGTGTGTGTGCGTGTGTTTGGGATATTATTGGTATCATCAGAGTCTAAGTTTAGCATTTAACACACAGCTCATTCCGATCCATGGCCATCAATCTGCAAGAGAAAGCCGACACGATCTTTCAACGAGAAAAAGAAGTTCGCGAACGAGTACATCCATTTGCCAATCGACGTGTAACAGCTCCTATCACTCAAGGTATATTTGCTTTTCAACGTTTCATATCTATGAAAGGGATGGCTGATTTTCAAAATAGAGCAATTCTTACGTCGACGAAGCAATAGCGCATCTCTACGATCCTTGGTGGATTTATTAGGCATCAAGGTAAGTTCATCTATGTGCTCAATGGTAGGGAGCAGTCTGCTGATCTTTATTATGTATCCAGGATATCTATCTACAAATCCATGTGCAATTTTGTTACATCTTGAAACTTTCAGCGCGGAGAAGGATGGAAAAGGTTACTCCCGGAAGAAGCCCCAGCGAGGCATACCTGAAAATGGTAATGAGCACGGACCACATACATACATACTTTTTAACACAGTGTACTTGTTTATATCCAGCAAGAGGAATATAGGAGGAAACGGCATCAACAGCAACAAAAACATTCGTCAAATGACTCGCAAAGTGATGACAAAACGTCGACAAGCGCTACCACCACCACTGCATCCTCCATCCTTTCTTCAGCAACAACAGCCAAGATCAATAATCTCATACCCTCTTCATCTGGCTCATGATGTTATATGAAACGCAACCACGTATACCCACTTTCAACCCCTTGAATTGTTTCATAGCTCTTTTTCACACACAATACGCCACATGCAGTCTGCTTGTTTGTCTTTTTTTCTTTCTCCTCTTCATCCATTTGCTTCAAGGGATGTTTCAGCATATAACATTACAACACTGCTGTCGTTTTGAATGGTGTGGACCACGCTGCTTTTCTTGATTGGATTACTGATGGGGTTTCGGTGATCATTGTCTCTCTCCCCCTCCTTTTTCGTTCTATCTTTGGGACAATGAATGACGACAGCGCCTTGTTCAACGCATCCAATGCATTGATTGTGGAGGTTTGTTCCCCCATATCGTATTGAAGAGGCTACCATTTGACGATCTTTGTGTAGGTTGTTCCTCTCTTGGTGCATCACGATGGGAATCCAGGATATTATCATCGATCATAGTAACATGTATATATATTCTTCTGCTCTGTATTGTATTACTAAATAATCTATCGATGCTATGTACAGTGCTGATATCACATGATGAATGGGAGAGGGAGGGATATGTATATATGTATGAGGAAGGGATCAATTATCTGACTCGGTCATGGAAGGCTTCTTCAGGTGCATCACGAGCACGGATGGCACGTTCAAACATGGCATTGATTTGTTCAATGGACTTGCCCTTTGTTTCGGGAACACAATAGAGCGTAAAGATAGTGGACACAAAGAGGATGGCACCAAAGATAATGAATGATGTTGAATGTAATCTATCCATGAGACCAGGAAATACGAGCGCCACCAAGAAATTAGCTCCCCAATTGACAGCCGTGGCCAATGAAGTCATGGCGGATGCAGCATGTGTAGGTGATAATTCCGATGTCAATAACCAAGGGATGGGGCCTAGACCAATGGCAAAGGAAGTAACGAAAAGGAAAACAGAGGTGACAAGTAAGGCTGGTAATTGTAAATGGCCTGCAACAGCAAGTAAAGCAGCTGATACGCACCCACCCGCTTGAGCCGTTACGAGTAATACTTTACGGCCTGCACGATCGATCAAGTAAACCGAAAGCAAGGTGACCAACAAGTTTACAGCTGATGTGCTAATAGCCATATAAGTCGAAATGCGGCTGTCAAAGGTTTGCTGGAAGATGATGGTCGAGTAGTACATGACGCCATTGACAGCCGAAAATTGTTGCACAGCATGAAGCGTTACCACCAATAACGTGATACGTCGCACCACCGGATCGGTCCACAAATCCGCAAAGCCATAAGCGCCTTTGCTGCCATTGCCTTCTTCGCTCAATACAGCAATACGCTTCTCCAAAACATTAACATCACCACCACCATCCGTTTCGATGCTATGTCGTGGTGCAGCAGCAGCAGCCATGGCTTCTTGTTCCTTTCTACCAGGTTCTTGGTGCTGTTGTTGTCCTTCGATAATGTCATTCAACTCGTAACTCACGTCGTAATTTGCACCACGTAACTTTTGTAATGATGCTTGTGCACCCTGCAAATCATTTTGTGACACCAGGTATCGTGGTGACTCGACGCACAATCCCATCACGCTCATTTGTAATAAAGCAGGGACAATCACCAAGCCATAGCTGACTCGCCATAAGGGTACCGAGTTGAATGCCAGCCCCACCAAATTGGATAACAAAATCCCAATCACAATGAGCAATCTATGTACAATAAAATGTTGAGAAAGGAGGTTTCTTTTTTTTACCCTTTACAAGGTGGCGTCTTTACTTACTGATTCAAGGTACCCATGGTACCACGTCCTTGGATGGTTGCAATTTCTCCATTGTAGGTAGGTGTGGCCACTGAATTCATGCCACACGATGCACCTGAACAAAAACGGCCGACAGCAAACATAACGGGGGATACGGAAAATGCCATCAATATAGAGCCGATGATCCAGCCAATATTGGTATACATGATGGTACGCACACGCCCAAATCGGGTCATGAAAAATGACGTGCAAAAGCTAGCTACCAATCCACCCAAGCAAAAAGTGGACACGGCAATTCCCCTACACACAATAGTAGTACACGTTATTATACCTCCAATAAAAGACAACCTTTCCTCATGCTTACCATTGTAATGAATCCATGGGTAAGCAATCGGGAAGATATCGATTGTTAACGTGGGCTGCACCATGCTCACAAGACGTAGTTGTCTCGCCCGGAATGTTGGGAGATCCAATCGTCCAACCATTAGAAAATGATCCTATGCATGATGCAACCACACAAAACACCATGTAACGTGGAAATTTGGCTTGTCGAGAATCCATAGCTTGAAGATAGATCAAGTATTAGATGATGTGTGTACGTGCTGGTGTATACGTGAGTGGAATGCAGGTGAACAAAAGTGGAAAAAATGCGACGCGGATGCAACCGATTTGAACAAACTCACATTTTTATTCGAGCCGGTAATTTTCCTCGCTCAATTCCTTGACGACACTGTTTCCATGGAAACACGCAAGATGTACATTATGAAAAAAGATGCTTATTTATAGAATAGATGCAATGACAAGATATGCGAGTGGATGGGGTGTTGAACATAAAAGTGTGTGTGTATGTGTGTGTGCTATAGCGTCTAATTGGATTTTACATAATGTGGCAATGATGATGGTGTTGAGAATTTTGATCTCGTTCTTGCTGCTTGAGTTCCCGAATGCGCTCCAAAGCAAACTCGTCATTGTGTTCAGCTGCCCTATGAAGCCATAATCTTGATTCCTCGATATTCTTTTCGGTACCAACGCCATACTCTTTGTAGTACGCCATGGCCAGCATGGCACGTGCACTGCCACCATAAGCTGCTTGTTCAGCCCATTGATAGGCTTGATCATTTGTGTCTTGGGATAGACACCAACGTGAAAGACAAAAGGCAGCTTCGGCATCACCTTGAGCAGCAGCTTGTTCAGCCCATAATAAGGCTTGATCGTTATCCACAGGGCAACCAAGATCACCTGTTTCATAAGCAGTGGCCAAACGTGCTTGTGAAGGAGCATGTCCAAAGGCAGCTGCTTGATGATAAAGCTCGAGTGCATAGCCTGGATCAGGAACAAGGGCATAGCCAGGTGTTTCACAAGCCAAAGCGAGCGCATGAAGTACAGCAGGGGTCGTGTTGTTGTCATGTTGGATGGCACGTTTAAGCCATGAGATACCTTGACGTCGATCAAGCGGTGTTTCTCGATGGATCAATATCATCCCCAATTTGTACATGGCTGGTAAAAATCCTGTTCTTGCAGCTTTGCGTAGATAATGGGCTGCTTGCATGACATCCAATCGTGTTCCTGCACCAAATTCGTAACACACGGCCACACGATACATACATTCGGCGTGGTTTTGTTTTGATCCCATCCAATAGCATTGAAACGCCTTACCAGCGTTAGCCTCAAATCCACATTTCCCTTCACCATAGCAATTGCCAAGGTAGAGTTGTGCTGGTGCATAGCCTGGTTTTGCATAGCCACGTGATGAGGCAAGTCGTTTCAGCAACCATCTTGTACACGCTTGCAGCTTCTTTAGGTTTCTCTTGTCATCGTCACCATTGATTTCGGGTAGTCCTTCTATGGCAGTGATAATGTATTGCACGTGTTGCAGCTGGTCTTCAACATCAGACAATGTTGCTGCATAATCATACAGCTGCAAAAGTGAATGAACGGTCATGGGGTACTTTGTGGTGTCATTATTTGCATTGGTCGTGGTAGGCTGTGGTTGTGGTTGTGGAAGCGGCTGTAAATGTTCAGATGCATGTTCAGTGATACTGCTTTCGATGGTCGTAACCGTTTCTTCAGCACTACTACTTGCAGAGGGTGTAGGTGGAAGTGGTTTAGTGGATGCATCATGAAAGGTCTCGTTGGAGCTTTGGCGGCTCAAACGTATTCGGATGACTGATTTGTTGTTTTTAGCTGATGGAGAAAGAGGTGCTAAGCCGAGGCTGTTGCGAATGACATTGGCTGTGTTGGATAATACTTTGGCGGATGCTATCAAGGATGGCACTGCTGATACTGCTAATGCCTTGTGAACTTTTGAATCGCGTGGGGAGGAGGCTTCTATTGTCTTGTTTGGCACATCCCCGCTTTGTGGGTGCTGCTGGTGCTGCTGCACACTTTGCAGGGTGGCCATGATGATTTATTATTCTTGTCGTCGTTTGGCTGGGTCCACACAGTGGGAAGCAAAGTCGAGAGGAAAAAGAAAGATAGATCAGAGTCGCATCAAAGCTGTGTATATGACACCTTTTCACCCCTCGGTCAAATATGCTCAAGAATATTCCAATTGTTGACATAAGCTCACATTGAAATCATAGCAAATGTTTGCCATCATCCGTTAGTGTAGAGGAATGCAATTTGTTTGCTGTTTGTTTTCTAGAAATGTATGTGCTGGTAGCACAAGAAGTAACATTGTGCTATATGATTATCTTTAGGTTGATGAGGGATGTCAAAGGAGATGCATGAGCTGCAAATCATGGCATCAATATGCTTTACAAGAAAAGCAAGGGAATGGATTGGGGGTTGCTCAAATAAACCTGATTGTGGCGTTCATGGTAGAAATACAAATACAAGTTTGTAGCATGTAACCATGACAACATTGTGAGGCAGGCAAAAGACAACAATGATGGTGGATCATCTTTCGGTGAATATGAGACAAAAAGCCACATGCGGTCGGTTGGGTGTGATAGCAGGTACACATCACAGTGGTGCTCCGCCAACTGAGTTTGGCAGCCGCAAGCTGATTAAAATTTGGGAACAAGGCAGTTCAGATGCTCCTCCTCTTCCATCTTTGATAGTCAACAATGGTATGTACATGCATAGAACATCCAAGTCATCCATCGATCCATCATTTATCAAATACATCAAAAATCGATTTCGTTATTGATGGATGAAAGGGATATGCGATGGATGAACGACTCTACATCAACCAGATGATACTCAACTCGAATGCATATGTTCATTAGGCTCGTGGTCCGAAAAAGCACATGAAGCGCTTGAATGCCCCCAAGCACTGGATGCTTGACAAGCTCTTGGGTATGTTGAAGAGAATGCACGCTTTATTGTGTTGGCATCTATGCGATCAGGGTTGCTAATCTATTATTGATGTATAGGTTCTTATGCTCCCAAGCCCAGTGCTGGTCCTCACAAGACTCGTGAGTGCTTGCCCTTGATCATCTTTTTGCGTAACCGTCTCAAGTACGCTTTGAACGGCCGTGAAGTCCAAGCTATCCTTATGCAGCGTTTGGTTAAGGTTGACCACAAGGTTCGCACTGACTCCACTTTCCCTGCTGGTTTCATGGATGTGATCTCCATTGAGAAGACTGGTGAGAACTTCCGTCTTGTCTATGATGTCAAGGGTCGCTTCGCTATCCACCGCATCACCGATGAGGAGGCCAAGTACAAGCTTTGCCGTGTCAAGAAGATCACCATTGGCAAGAAGGGTATCCCTTACGCTGTCACCCACGATGGCCGCACCATGCGTTACCCCGACCCCGCCATCAAGGTCAACGACTCTGTTCGTTTCGATTTGGAGAACAACAAGATCACTGACTTTGTCAAGTTCGATGTTGGCAACGTCTGCATGGTTACCGGTGGTCGTAACATTGGTCGTGTTGGTATCATCACCCACCGTGAGAAGCACATTGGTGGTTTCGAGATCGTTCACGTCAAGGATTCTCTCGACCGTGTCTTCGCTACCCGTATCTCTAACGTCTTCGTCATTGGTGCCGGTAACAAGCCCTGGATCTCTCTTCCCAAGGGCAAGGGTGTCAAGCTCACCATTGCTGAAGAGCGTGATCGTCGCAGAGCCGCTGCTGCTGCCGCTCACTAAGAATGTGCATCTCTCCCACATTGATAATAAATTCACGGGTTTCCTTTTTACTCGAGCCATTACTCTTTTATTGTTGTGCATTTGTGGATGGATTATAGAGGATTTGTTTATGAGATGGGATGGGTATGTGCTCTTTCTTCCTTCACACCTGACCCCGCTTGTTGAAAACACACTACATTTGCTTTACTCAAATCGAACTACTCTTACGCTGATGCGCCAACCCGCTTGCTTACGATCCGATGGCAACTCTCCCAAGCACGTCTTTTTATCAGCGAGATGCGTTTTGGAATGGAACAACAATGACACCTCATCCTCTATTCTTGACAACTGAAAACTACAATGCGACAATGCGAATTCAACAGACTCTTGTCAAGGCATGCGAGTGAAGCTGTTGCTAGGAAACGGCTTGGGCACATCTATTGTTGGCAACTTGCACGTGTATTCGGTTCGTCAACCAACTTTTTCCAGTAACCATATGGTTGTCGACTTTACCCTTTGAATGGTTAGTGGGTATCAACACACATGGGCAGCTTCAGCATGGTGACACAAGTACAGGCAATTTGGCTAGGGATGTCAACTTTCACCACAATCTATGGGATTCAAAGTGCAATGTATCCGATGACATACATGAGGGGCATTTGATTACTATAAGAGCAGCATCAAGCGAGTGACGAATGCAAGGATCAGGTACATCATCCGGATTTTTTTACTGTGGGAATTATGCGGTTGGCCACCCTATTTGCTCGGATGGATCTTCCGTATCACAATGGTTGCTTCATAATGGATTGCATTATTATTAACTTGCAACGTTTTCATTATATAGACCATTCAAGGAAGGCATATCATGCGTGGAATGTATATGGGACGCTCTCTCTAGGAGCTGAAGATGGCTAGTCAATCGGATGCATGTGGTGATTCAATGAACGCCCAATTCTCCCGCATTGCAAATCAAGGCAGAAATATTTAAGCTCTCTCATGTCGGATTGGGTAAGCATCATCCAAAATCAACTTCTCCCACCCCTTTTTATTTCACGCGATGAATACTGAAATCGTATCTTCATCTTTTGTAGCTATCAACAACACAGCATGATCTTCACTTCTTCATATCCACCACTCACAGAGATTCCTCAATGCAATGTTATCGAGTTCCTTTTTCGGAATCCAAACAAGATCCCAGACAACCATCCCATGCTTGTTGATGCTGTTACGAATGATTGCTTGACGTATGGTGATCTCAGACAACGTATTCTCCAGTTTGCTGCAGGATTACAGGATCAATGCGACTTTAAAAAGGGCGACACCCTGTTGCTATGCTCTCCAAACGATGTAAGTATTTATCGATCAAAGGATCATCATGCATTTACATTAACGTGTGATACGCTTCTTTTTATTAGTACGAGTATCCAATTCCATTGTTGGGAGCAGCTGCAGCAGGTATGTTGGTGGTAATGCGTATGTGTATCAGATCCATTGCGTTCTATTGCTTATTTCTATATTATCATCAGGCGGTGCTAGTTCCCCTGCCAATCCCAATTACACCGTTCATGAAATCCTGCATCAGTTGACATTGACCAAGGCCAAGGTTATCATCGGCCATCCTGACAATATTGACCGAGTGATTGCTGCAGCTTCCCAGGCTGGTGTACCACAATCTCGTATCTTTGTTCTTGGTTCCCACGGGATCAAGGGATGCCAATCCTTCCGTGTATTACTGGGCAAGCGCACAGGAGAGATTACCAAGCTTACAGCTGAGGAATCCAAGACAACGCCAGCATACCTTTGTTTTTCATCGGGTACCACTGGTCAAAGTAAAGGTGTTATAACTACGTAAGTTACACGGGCTCATATACACACAAAACACGTGCATTAAACATACCGATATATACTCAGGCATGCCAACATCTCTGTGAACATCCTCCAATACCTGGCAATCGATGGCAAAGTTATCAACAGCAAAAAAGACAGCACAATCATCATGCTTCCTATGTTCCACATTATGACACTATCCAACATTCTGCATACATCCATATACACTGGTACAACGTTGTATGTTCTCAAACGCTACGAATTGGAACGAGTGTGTGCTCTCATCGAAGCCAAGAGAGTGCCGTTTGCTTATATGGTACCTCCAGTCTTGCTACAAATCGCCAAAGATCCAGCTGCTCAAAAGTATGATTTGTCTTCTCTCAAATGGATCAACAGTGCAGCAGCACCTCTTGGTGCTGAGCTTGTGGAGCTCTTGAAGGAACGTCTTCCTACGACCATCGTGAAGCAGGCATATGGAAGCACTGAAACATCGCCCGTGGCGACCACAGAGCCAATTGACGATGTTGCTCAAGGTATAAGGACAATCATCGGATCATGTTTCTTTGAATCCGGTTCACTAAATTCATCTATGTATAGGATCGGTTGGACTTTTGGCTCCTAATATGGAATGCAAGATCGTCAATGAAGATGGCAAAGGTATGATTGATGTGATTACATCTTACAGGACCAACGTCTCATTCCACTATGGTTTATTCGTATAGCGCTTGGAACTGGTGAGCGAGGAGAGATATGGCTCAAAGGCCCAAACATTATGATGGTAAGTAGGGTGGGATTACCAAATGCAGCTGCATGATTTGGGCATTTATTTATTTGTCATTGAAAGGGCTACATCAACAATCCCGAGGCGACAAGGAATTCCATTGATGAGGATGGTTTTTACCATACAGGAGATGTGGGTGTGATTGATCAGCAAGGCCATATGTGGATCGTGGATCGGATCAAGGAATTGATCAAGTACAAGGGATTTCAGGTATATGCTGGTAGAGTACGTGAATTAAGGACATGTGCTAAGACAAGGAAAATGATACGTAGGTGGCACCTGTTGAGTTGGAATCAATCTTGGTAAGTTCACGTCACTACCTTGGAAACCGACAAACACGCCTTCTTACATGAAAAGGAAACAGGTAGAGTCACCTGACGTAGCCGACTGTGGAGTCATTGGAATGTATGATGAAGCGATAGCCTCCGAGATCCCGATCGCTTATGTGAAGCTCATGCCAAACGTGCCGTCCACAGAAGAAACTAAACAACGTATCAAGCAATACCTTGCAGAGAGAGTGGTACCATATAAGAAGATTCATCGTGTGATATTTACGGAGGCAATTCCACGAAGTGCGGCTGGGAAGATTTTACGTCGAATCCTTAAAGAGCAGCTTTCGAAAGATGTCAAGGATAGAAAAATGGTATCATCCAAAGCCAAGCTTTAGAATAATAAAGACCTATAAAGCATTTGAGTGTTTTGATACATAAGAATGAACCATTCCATATGGGCTATCATAGGCGGATTTCACTATAGGCAGGCAGGGAGAGGATTCTTAATGCACTCTCCGCCAATAGGATTAACGCTTCAAGGTCACCAGCGCTCTCGCTTTGTGACACCACAGTCCTTCTGCATATTTGGCTCTGATACGAGTGAGGCGATTGACCACGAACAAAGACCACCCTTCGTATAGCATCACCCTTACAGTATAGGTAAAACATAAAGGTGCCTGTATCTCTAAACTTTACAATCAAACGTGGGGTCTTTAATAGAACAGTGTTGCTCGGCGGGGTGAAGCGGACCTCGTGTGCAAGTTTCACGATCAAGCTTGCCAATCCCAGATTTCGCAATGTCGCCACCAGCCAAACTGGATCTGGGGGTCGACCTCTTCGTTATAGGGAGGCTTGATTTGCCTCGATTTTTTATTGGGAGTATGTCGAGGAGTGATACCCCAAAGATGATACAGCAATGTGAAAGTAAAGAAGACTAACTGAGAAGAGAAATAGATCAAACCGGATCATTGTGACTCGAAGAAGAGACACTTTCCGATGCAAAAGAGAACGAAAAGGGGAACGCTTTCCCCTTGTGGCGAAGTGTAGCATAAAGTCTGTCATAAGATACGCTGGTCAGTGTTTCAGTAATGGTTCTTGCTTCGTCGGAAATAGGGAACAGGCGGTTAAGTAGTCTGCGTTGGCGACCAGTGATAGGTTTGGCGTTAGGGTCAGTATTGAGCTGAGGTGGGATAAAGTCGACAATAAGCTGGTCGTTGTGAGCTTCACGATTGGAAAGGTCATCAGAATGCATTGAAACATCAGAGTCGTGGCTGTGGGCAGAAGAAAGTGTGGGCGATGGAGGCGATGGTGGCACGTGTGGTTCTTTGTTGTTGGTTGGCGCTGGGGTGCGATGATAAGAACATTTTGCTGCACGATGGCCTGGTTGACCACATGACCAGCAAAGACGATTGCGACTTGGATGACTAGGACATGATGAAATAGAGTGACCGGAACGATGACAGTGTAGACAATGTAATGGCATTTCAGCCCATGTTGCATAAAAGAAGTCGGCGGAGTTGGGCCAAGCAATCGTGTGTGTGAGTGGGAGGAAATCGAGTGAGGCTGAAACGTTTAATGTTGCGTAACCATGTCCCATAAACAAGTGGGAGTCCTGGTCACGAAGAATACCATGATCTAGAATCTTACCAAAGGGTGCGAGTGCTTGTCGAATACCATCTGCTAGTTTTTCCCTAGATGTGAATGGCAGGTTGCTGAGACGAATGTTGATGATGTGAGCGTTTTCCGATAAAGGCCGAGTGGGTAAGATACGAGAACCATCAGAGAAGTGAAGACCATTTTTGCAGGCTTTTTCGTACAAGGATGAATCATCAATGAATAGCTCAACAATACGGCGTGAATGATCTGAGTGCAGACGTGCACCACAGTTATCGGGATAGCTTTCACTTATGTGACGAAGAAGTGTTGAACGGTTTTCGGTGCGAGAAGTGAAGTCAAAAAACAAACTCGGGCACGAAGCAGGGGATCCACCAACTTTCCACACATTGGAATGGGTGGTTTTGTCAAGTGCATTGCTGGTCAAAGATTCTCGAATTGCAGTAGGACGTTGAACGCGAGCAGCTCTCGCATAAGATATAGGTGGTGTACTAGATTGGGTGCCTGTTTCCTTATCAGGCGATTTGATTGAATTCGCGGAAGACATGGGGTCGACCTCTTCGACGACGACGACCAAAAAATATTTTTTGGGCTAGTTGCGACATTGAACGTGAAACTTTCACACAAGGTGCTGTTGGCCAAGCCGAGCCCATTGCTCTAATAAAAACCCCGAGTTTCATTGTAAAGTTTGAAGATACAGGCACCTTTATGTTTGTAAGCGTGATGCTATATGAAGTGTGGTCTTTGTTCATTGTCAAGTATTTATATGGAGGTTGTTAGCCTCGTTTTATTGGGAGTGCATCGGTGAGTGGCACCCCAAAATCGAAACAATATTGGTCAAATTGATAATCATAAGGAGATATACATGAGAGGGAACGAGATGACAAAGGGTGGGAGCGAGCTAATTGGAATCATTAAGTCTCATGGAAGAGACACTCCCCGACGAATTGGAAGGAGTGGCAGAAGACGGAAAAAGTTTACCCCGACTTTTAAGCTTAAAATAAAGGGTGGTAAAACTTGATAGATGCAAAGATCGAATGATTTCCTTGGCTTCATCAGACATGGGAAAAGTCGTCAACATACGATCGATGGACTCGGGCGGTGTTGGTGCCTTAGATGATTTGGCTGATGGTTTTTCAGGGGAAGATTCTGTAATATGAGTACTGATAATCATGTCGTTGTGGGCTTCAAGGGGTGAGTAATCAGTGCTAAGCATCGATACATCGGAATGGCTGGCAGCAGTGGAAACAGAAGACGATGGGGACATTGGTGGGTCATTGATGGGCTTGACAACAATAGGGCGGCGATTGGGACATTTAGCGGCACGGTGGCCATTTTGGCCGCAAGACCAACAGGGGCGATATCTGCTTGGGTGGGTAGGACATGAGGACATAGAATGACCGGATTTGTGGCAATGAAGGCAATGAAGCGGCATTTCAGCCCATGTTGCATAAAACCAGTCTTCGGAGTTAGGCCATGAAATCGTGTGTGTGAGCGATGATGATTGTTTTGAACCTGAAACGTTTAATGTTGCATATCCGTGTCCCATGAACAACTTAGAGTCATGATCACGGAGAATACCATAATCAAGAACATCACCAAAGGGTAAGAGAGCCTTATAAATTCCATCGGTAAGCTTATCTCGAGAGGTAAAAGGAAGGTTGCTGAGTCGAAGATGAATGAGACGGGAATCAGCTGGTAAAGGTACACTAGGCAAGATACGCACACCATCCTTGAAAACAAGGCCTGACGTACAAGCTTTCTGGTAAACGTTGGAGTCATCGATGAATAATTCAACAATACGGCGAGCATGATCCGAGTGAAGGCGAACACCACAATTGTTGGGAAAGCTTTCGTTTATATGGCACAAAAGCTGGGAGCGATTTTCGGAACGAGACGTGAAATCAAAGAACAAGCTGGTACAGGAAGCAGGAGAGCCACCGGCTTTCCACACATTCGAGTGCAAAGAATTGTCATGAGCTGTTGCTTTCAACGAATCCCGCGTTGGGGAATGAGTACGTGCTGAGGAATGAGTGCTGGTAACCTTGGCATACGAAAGCCGTTGTGGACGATATTGTGTGCCTGTTTCCTTATCAGGCGATTTGGTTAAATTCTGGGAAGACATGTTTGAGTTTGTTCGTTCATTGTCAAGTAGGTGGACCCTGGCAGAGCAAAAGATGCAGAGGGACCTCTTTGTGTAACTCAGCTACCTTGCATGACTGGAAGGATTGATGGATTATACTTTTGTCTATCCACGATAGTCCATATATTGCCCGCTAGCAGCCATTTTTTCACAATCAGCGTTGTTGCAAAATCCACTTCATGTGAATGATTCTCCTACTCCAGCCGAGCGTTTCCATCATTCAAGTTTCTTGATCCGAGCCGATTTGACTGAGCTACGCTGGAACAGCGAACATGAAATTAATGAATCGCAGACCCTGCGAATGTCTCCGTCATTCAAACTTTTGGACGCTCCCATTCCAAATTTTCAAATGAAGCGTGAAGTTTTTATTAGAAAAAGTTGATTAGGATGCTCGAGAGCACCCTTCTGACCAATTTTCAAGTTGGAAGTGAGCAACTTCGGAGCGGTGGGCCGTCCGCTCTTTTGTTGCCCATCATCCACCGTTTGGGCCCTCCCGCATTCAAGACACCCTTAATGAAGTGTATGGTTTTTAAATGAATGAAGTTGATCAGCATGTTGCAGCGAACCTTCTGACAAAGTTTCAGGTTCGAAATGGGGAATCCCAAGATAATACATACTGTATCCATAGATCATGAATCCGGGGCTGACCTCCGTTTCCGACTTACATAGTAAACCCACATTGCACCCTCCCATTCAATATTTTCTAATGAAACATGAGGTCTTTTTTAAGACCATGTTGATCAGCATGACCAAGAGCATCTTGTGTGAAAGTTTCAGGTTCGAGAGGGGCGATCTCAATATCAAGGATTGATGTACAGTGTTCATGCATTTAAACAAGAGGTGCCCGACCTATTTAATTTCCACTTCTTCCACTCTCAGCACTTCCCTCTTCCTCCCAATCTCAACTGTTGCCCCATTCAAGTATACAACTACCACCTGCGAACGATTGTCCTGGTTCAACCCATCATGTCCATCCTACGATTGTCTTGATCCGATTGTCTTTGACTGAATGGCAAGTCCATGACGTGTGCATCCTACTACAGCACTCGCATTATTGATACTACATCCTTCTCTTGTGCACTCCTCTACCAACACCAAGCGTAACAGCATTCATTCCAGTGGCTGCAATTAGCAAGGTCTTTCTTCATTGACTCGTATGGTGTTCAAAGCCTTGTCACTCTACTACAGCACACGCTCTTGCACACTCCTTTGCTCAACCGAACGTAACAGCATTCGTTCCAGCAGCTTCACTCCATTGTCTCCAACAGAATTCTTTACTTGCAGCAACTTGTCTTACAGCCTTTTCACGTGAACAGCAAGTAGTCATTGTATAGAAGCAGCCTTGTTTACGTGCAGCAACTTGCTTTGTTGGATACGAGCTCCAATGGATGATGCCATATCAGCCATCAACTACTACTGGCCAATACAAGCATTCTTCACCTGGTTGAGCTAATAGAAAATGACCAAGCAAGTGATTGACCAACATCCGGATGGAGAGGAAACATGTCAGCAAGCGATCTCAAGAGTTTTTTCTATCAGCGTTTTGGTCTTGCAATGGCTACGATGAATGGATGCAAGCAAGTGCAGCGAAGAGGAATCTTGAAATGAAGAATGGATCATATCACATGGATACGACCGGGGATGATGATGGATTGGATGACGTGGATGGCGTGGATGAGAGGCATCATATCTTTGATGGAAGGCGGTTTGCTGTCATGGATAGTATTGGAGCATCGAAGTCAAGGCACGCACAGCAAATAGCTTGCAATCATGGATGGAGATGTTTATGACGGCAGCAACCAAGGATACAATGACACAATGGTGCTCACTGATTCTATGTGATTCACGTGGTTGGTTTTTGGAATGGAAGGGAGGATGGAAATTTGAAGGTCGCGAAGAGAGATTGGATCACCACCACATCATTGTATATGCTGATAGACGATAGGCAATGGTAATTCTCAGGATTGTACACATCTTTAAATAGACGCTTGTAATGTGAAAGATAATAAACCCATAGTATTGCTACCCAACAATAGTGCTTGTTACAAATGCAGTCCATTGAAAGCCCTAATCATTTACGTTTAAGAAAGAGTGAGCTCTGATACAATGTGGCACGGGTACATACAACGTACGTACAAGGTCTAGGAACGCATGATTTATGGATATCGTATATTGTTTACAACATGGCGCTTAAAAGAAAGTGCTGGAGTTAGCGTTTCGAATAAGCATCATCATTACCAGTCATTATTATTACATGCGTTCACTACCCTGGATATAAGTCCTCAACCTTGCAACTCACTCACATGATCGAGAATACAAATGTGGTGCGCTATGTTGTTATATCAATGAAGATGTCAACAGCTTTCAATTTTTCTTTCTGTAACACGCATAAACATACTCGAAATACGTTTTAATTCGCTCAATCAACCATTAGAACTCCCACACGATTGTCTTTGCATAACACACTCGTCTTTTGCATTTTATAATAGTAGATGCAATCATCATCCCATATATCTAGTGATGCTGACCCCAACATTTATTCAATGAAAGCCGATACAAGGACAAGATACTGTAGGTGATTATCAAACAAAGATGATGAAGAAATAACATTGCCGAATGAATATAAGATGTGGATGTATCACGTAGAGCCAACATGTACCTCTCTAAAACATCATCCAATGAGAAACAAAAAGCCATGGCAAGCATTGTTGTGTCTTGTGTCTTGTGTCAACGTGGTCCATTAGATGATCGTGACGGAAAATAGGCGAGTGCACCCATCCATTGGACAGGCCAGTTTGTGTTAGGCCTATGTATGAATCAATGATGTTAATAAGCAGTACCAAGATATACGTAGAACATACTTACGCAATTGTGGTTGTGAATATGATGGTAAAACTTCTTCTTTGTGGTAAACGTCTCATAGCAATGCTCCCAAGGACATTCGATTTCTTCACACTAGATATAGACACCAATTTAGTCCATGGTCCATATCGATGGGATATATTACTTACCTGATGCATTACAACTTTGTGGGGGTAATAAGTGCGGTAGTTCTCGAATGTTTCGTTACATTGCTCACAAGGTATCTCGCCAGACTACATAAAAGCTGTCAGAGCATGAATCAATGCGATCACTGGAAATAGCACTTACATGAATGTTGAACTTGTGTGCTCGCAACATAGTCTTTGTTGATAGCACCATACCACATTCATCGCATTTCCACTCCTCTCCCTAATTGCATTCAGTATCGCCATAGAGATCCTTGGACGGTGTATCGTTGCCTTGTGCTGATGGTGGTGTGATAAGTTAGTTTCAATTCAGGATAGACGAGCTGGTCGCTTACCCCGTGTTCTCGCACGTTGTGCGCAATCAGCATATAGGGTATATGGTATGATTTGTTGCATAGATCACAGCGATGCAACCGTCCCTGGAAAAAAGACCCCTTATTAGTAAATGGCCTTTCATTCGTTCAACCTTGGATGACCTACTCGTTCATTTGTTACGTTTCTTGGTAGGGTGTTGTATGTTCGCTTTCTGCACTCTTCTTCATATTTCCTGGCCAAGTCCTTCTCTGTGGCATCCATTGATCGTAAACGTAACATACATGTGAGTATGGGATTTGAACCGTCATGAAGCGTGACAACATGTACACATGTACCTATCGTTGTATGTGCAGGGCTGCTCGTATCAGAAGCAGTGACACCGATAACTATAATGCAGTTGATTAATACAGATATATACTTTCTTTTGTTTGGGTATCCATATATACCAACCTTTGCATTAGCTTGATCAGTACATCAAGGATGCTACTGATGACGAAGATTTGGCTGCACGTCTTGCACGACGTTCTTCAAGTGACGAACCAGTTGGAGACGGACTTGCAACTTGTACATGCACAGGAGACTGTTGAGTAGTAGTTTGTGGGCGCTGAACTGCTCTATCTTTTGGAACGCGCTATCCATCTTGAGGGTGCGTACATATACGAACTTAACGTTCACCCCTGTAGCTTTAGCCTTGATCCTCTTCATCAACTTGCTTCCCCGCACCTAACGTGTTGGCAAATCAAAAGTGAATTAGATGATGATGTTGTACTGCTATTCTTCTCAAATTACATACCAAAAAGCTCCACCAAATCGGGTTACTCTTCTTTCTTGCGTTTGGCACCGCCCAAGGCATGTATTTATTATTATACCTACAAAGGAGTCCCAAGTTTCCCATCAGACTGAGGTTGCCTTTTGCCTACAAATGTGCCTACCACAAAGGATCCATCAAGGAATACAGCCAAATGTTTTTAGGCACCAATGAGCACTTCAAGCGGAAAAGCAATGAGGTGAGCTATATAGATGAATGCATGAGTACCCTCATTTTGGCCATCACATAAAGGACTATCCTTGAGACTTACCAAAGGTCATTGATGATGATATGAATACAAGTGGAAAGAAACGAGGTATGATGGTGTTGGTGACAACAGCGTTGTTTATATGTGAGTGGGCGTGAGAATTGTTGTCGTGATTGATCGAACTGATACAGTAAAGTGGTCAAGCATGTGGAGTAATACTGAGTCGAAGTGATGGAAATGGATCAAACTGATGAAGTGGTCAAGCATCTTGGAGTAGTACTGAGTCGAAGTGATGGAAACCTGCAGCTGATGAATCCACCTGCCACTTGAAAGGTGACTTTTTGTATGTCACATGGTGTCCTTATCCTTCAACATACACCAAAGATCTTCATTTCAATTTCACCACCACCGTCGTCGTCACCGCTTCCCATTGAGGAAAAAGAAAGAGGGTTGATATCATCGAGTGTGAGACGATCATGCTTGGCGGGAGGTACCAAAATCGAGGTAGGTAGACAACGAGGAGGAGGAAGACGAAGAAGAACAAGAGACAGAGGAAGAAGTGGAAGCAGCAGCAGTAGCAATAGCAATAGCAGTAGCAGGAGGAAGAGGCACGGGCTCAATGAGACATCGGCAAAAGAAGTACAGTATCACGAAGAGTATTGCTGTCAAATGGCCCAAAGGAGTCGAACGCAAGGAGATGATGATGATGGCTAAAGTTGAATTGCTTGATCAAAGACCTATTCAGTTCATTATTAGCAAACATATACAATAAGCACCCTTTTCATTGTTTGTTTCATTGCACTTGCCTTTTCCATATACATAAAGACCCTTTGTTCTTGGTTACTGGAAACTGGAAAACCATGGTGTAGTAGTGTTGTTGAGCCGAAACAAAACGCCAAACCAGCCAACGCCTTGAAACCAAACTTGCTCTCTATACAAGCTAACACGTCAATGGAACCGATTCGGCTGCAACATTGGACTTTGAATGTACCTGTTGACACCAAGCATAGAGCGGGAATAGCAACGAACAAGAGGAAGCAACGATCGCCATGGCAACCACCAACCACCAACCACGCTCATTCCTCAGCACTTGGACACACTCACTCCCTGACAATGCATGTTAAGAACTACATTAACACCTCACAGCCAACAAGAGCACTTTTTTATAATACATTACCTTGATCGAGATGTCGTGAATGGAATAAAAGCAGAGGAGCGAGAAAGAGAAAGAAGCGCTGTCTCAAGTCGTGGAGCTACGTCCCCCAAGTTTAAATCCCCTACAGCTATTACACTGAGGCCACTCAATTACCCCTATACGCACACCATCCACCCATCGTCATCATCAACCTCACGGTAGACAATAGGTACACGTAAATAAAAGAAATGATCCTCACATATAGCAAAAGGACGTGTGTGTCATTTTACACTTTACATGACAATGATGATCCAACAACAGCCATTACTACCTTACTACCAGGTTAGCTCGAATCATGAAAGTTCAATGATGGGCATGCTGGGCTGGAGCAAGACAATCGTTCGTATGCAATGGACTGGACAACAAAGGTGAATGGGAGGAATGGGCTATTAGCTGGCAGTTTACAAATAACTTTGCAAAATGATTTTTCCCATATTGGGCGATACTTCTGTGTTTGAGCGTTTTTCAGTCAAATCCTCTCGGATCATGAAAGTTGAAGGATGGGGATGATGGGCTGGAGCAGGACAATCGTTCGTGTGCATTGGATTGGACAACAAAGGTGAATGGAAGGAATGGGCTATTAGCCGGCAGTTTACAAATAACTTACCAATTTGATTCTTCTGATGCTCGGATGGTGTTCTGTGTTTGAGCATTTTTCAGTCAAATCTCATCGGATCAAGAAAGTTGAATGATGGGCATGCTGGGCTGGAGCAGGACAATCGTTCGTATGCATTGGATTGGGCAACAATGGAGAATGGGAGGACTAAGGTTATTAGCTGGCATTTTGAACTATTCCTAAATAGTGTACAAGAATCATGCATCGCCTGTGCTGAATGACTCAAGTTACACAAACACGACCCTTTGCATCTTTTGCTCTATTATAGTCATACTACTTTACATTAAACAAAGACCGCTTCTCATATAGCATCACGCTTACAAGCATAAAGGTGCCTGTATCTCCAAACTTTACAATGAAACGTGGGCTCTTTAGTAGATCAACGTGCTTGTCGGGGTCAAAGGAATCTTGTGTCAAAGTATGAAGTTCATCGTGGGCGATCCCAGATTTCGCAATGTCGCCACCAGCCAAACTGGATCTAGGGGTCGACCCCTTCGACGACGACGACCAAAAAATATTTTTTGGGCTGTTTGCGAGATTGAACGTGAAACTTTCACACAAGGTGCTGTTGGCCAAGCCGAGCCCATTGCTCTAATAAAAACCCCACGTTTCATTGTAAAGTTTGGAGATACAGGCACCTTTATGTTTGTAAGCGTGATGCTATATGAGAAGTGGTCTTTGTTTAATGTAAAATAGCTGGACCCTGACAGAGCAAAAGATGCAGAGGGTCGTGTTGTGTAACACAGCTACGTTTGCATGGATGAAAGGGTCAATGTATAATTACTTTATGGATCATCTAGGAACAGGCATGTATTGCTTGCTAACGGCCACTTTTATCCGATCATCATTGTTGCGAGATCCACTGCATGGGAACGATGCCCCTGCTCCAGATATTCATTTCCATGATTAAAGTAGGTTGATCCGAGCTGATTTGACTGAGCTACGGTCAAAGAGAGATTACATCACTCTGGACATAGGAGTACCGCCTGATGTAGCTCAACTGATGTAATCTTGTGTGTGAAAGGTAACTCAACCAAATCAGCTCGGATCAACCTACTTTAATCATGGAAATGAATGTCTAGGAGCAGGAGCATCATCCACCTACAATAGAATGCACAAAAGTTGGGAATGCACAAAAGTGGCTATTAGCTGCCAATGTATGACATAAAGGAGGGTTGCGTACCTGTCATGCATTGTCCCTGAAGTCCTGACTTTTAGCTGAGTTACCCAAAGAGGAGCAATACGTAACTGAACGAAGTACAA